CTGTTCTTAATCAACATTCCAGTGAAGATGAAAGGGAGGACAGAAAGGTAGGGAGGAGGGAGATAGGGAGGAGGGAGGGAGGGAGGGAAGGGAGGAAAGGAGAGAGGAAGGAAGGAAAGGATGGACCCGAAAATCTCACAGCAGACTCCTTGGCTGATGTAGTCCTGCTTTTAGCAAAGAAGTAATTTTAACAAAATATGTCTCTTCTTAAACATATAGTATGCATTCAGACTATTTGACATTTCTTTTCCTTTTTGGAAGTCTCAGCAGCAGTGCTTAATGGAAATTAAACAAGGCTTAATAGAACCACATATAGGTGGACACCATACTAAAAAGATAAAAATTGTTCTACTGTTCCTATCCCATTACTTCTAATGCTCTGTGCTTTCCAACCAACAATGTGAACTGAATTATAATGACAAAGACGCTGGATATCCTGATAGAATACTTTAACAAGGAGCAAAAACAGGTAAATGCACTTGAAAAAATCATTTGACTGCTCCTTGAGGCAAATGCTTGTTCCTTCTTGATCTTGGATGAAGAGTTTCAAAGGAAAGAAAACAGACCTAAGCAGATATTGTGGGCTGCCTGTGTGTTTAGAGAGTAAAGCAGGAAATGAAGGAGAAACGAGATTAGGACAATTGAAATGATCCAAAAGTCAAAACTCAGTTGAACAACTGAGAGCTTTGAGGTTTTGCAAAATATAGAAATAATTGCCTTTTAATACCTTGAAATTATAAAGGGTGAACAGATATGAATGAAACTCGTCGTTACACGGGAATGCCATGCAGTATTTCTAAGGATGAGTTACTTCTCCATTTTGATATGGAAAGGTATTTAAAACACAATATTTAGTTTCTTCCAGTTTTAAGCAAATAATGTGTAGAGTATAAAAGGGAAAAAACTCCCAAAACACAAATACTGAATTGCTTACCATTTATGTCATCCTAGATATGTGGGTTACAGAAGGATGTACAGTTTAGAGCATCATCCATGCTTTTATATTCCTAATGTACTACATTTTAAAATATTTTATTTATTACTTTTATGTGTATGAGTGTATTGTCTGCATGTATATATGTACAAGCATGTCGTGCAGTGCCCATGGAGGTCAGAAGAGAGTGTTGACTTTGCCTGGAACTGAAGTTATGGACAGTTGTTAACAGCCATGTTGGTGCTAGGAAATGAACCCAGGTCCTCTGCAAGAACAGTCAGTGCTCTTAACCACCGAGCAACCTCTCCAGTCCTAACATTTTTATTAGTATAGCCAGAGAAAGAAAGCCACCTACACTGAAAAGAAGAAATTTCAACTCAAATGTTTTGTTTTGTTTTGTTTTGTTTTTTCAAACAGGGAAGAAAGGGATTTAATTGTAGAGTATAATTCTAAATCAGACTAAACAGGAATAGGAAAACAAGTCATCCATTAAAAAAGAGAGAAATAGGTTAGGGGTGGATATGATCAAAATACAGGGCATGCAATTCTCAAATAATAAAATTATTTAAAAAGAGAGAAACAACTCACGTCATACACGCAAGAATGGGGCTATGATTGTTGGTATGTGTTTTCAGTATCTGCTCTGAACTTTCTACTCTAATGTTGTGCCACTTGAATACCATTGGCTGTGTCCTATTTATCTTTATACCTGCACCAGCAATATTTATCAACGATAGAGGTTTAATAAATGATGGGATACTAAGTGGAGAAGGAAATGAGTGAATGGACTATGAAAAAGACAGCATTGCTTCTAGGGGGCTTACATTTATTCTAGTAAAATCTCAGTAAAAGATGGCTGCGGTGGCATGCACTTATGATCCCAACACCAGAGAGGTCTAGAGAGGAAAATACCAAGAGCCTCCTGGCCTGCTAGCCTAGTCTAATCTGTGAGCTCCAGGCACCAGTGAGAGACCATATCTCAAAGAACAAAGTGGATGGTTCCTGAGGAACAGTACCCAAGGTTGTACTGTGACCTCCATTTGCATGTACACATGTGTGTGCCTGCACAGATATGTGCACCTGCACCCACATCTACACACATGTAAAAAAGAAAAAAAAAAGTGCAAAGAACAGAATAGGAGGATGAAAAAATATCCTCTGGCATCCATCCATCCATCCATCCATCCATCCATCCAAGTACGTTTGTTTGGCCATCCTTCAGATGTTCACAAGGACTCAGTTTATGATGAATTTTGTCAATTATGCTTTTCCTTTTGTGTCACTCCTGTATTTCAATTCATGTGTCATTGTAATGCCACCCTCAGCATATATTTGCCCTCCTTATTCTCTGCTTTTCTTTACTTTGTCACCATATTGTTGACAGCCATACAAACTCCGGTCTGGGGCCTGCCATCCAGCTGTGAATTTTGCCCTTCATGTCCTTATTGGATCTTTCCACTGAAGGCATGTGGAGTGATATCATCATTCCATTTTTACAAATTATTATTTTTACTTTATATGTATGAGTGTATTCCTGCATGTATGAAAGTCCACTATGTCTTACAATGGAGGAGGTCAGAAGAAGGCATCAGGATCCCCTGGAACTGAAGTTACAGATGGTTTTTAGCTTTATGTGGGTGCTGGGAATCGAACCTGGGTCCTCTGCAAGAGCATCCAGTGCTCTTAACCAGTGAGACATCTCTCCAGCCCCCATCATTCTATTTTGACTTTGCCATTTTCAGGTCCATTTCTATCAGTGGAAACATAGCAACTTTTCTGAGCCATGATTACAATACATAAATATCGATGAAAATAAGTTGTTCCTCCTGACTGTGCCAAGGATAGGCTGTTTCTGGTCCTGAGCTCTTAGCTCCATGGATTATAGTAGGAATCTGCTGAGTGCTATGTACTCTTTTCTTTGAAAAATTTTATAGACAATTCCAGGGATGTTATAGGCCACCTGATACCCATTAATCTGCAAAGATTTTTGATCCCTGTTATTGATGTGTGCTTTCTTCTAGGACAGATTAAAAAAAGAATGTGTTCACTAGAAAGTACAATTCTACTAAGTACAGGAAGCCTTGTTTGTAACATTATCCATGCTTCAGCCTACCTACAAGTATAGCAAACTGAAGATAAAGCTAGAGTGGAGTGTTATGGTTAATAGCATGGTGACAGAACTATAAGAAAGAATTCATGGGCTGGAGAGATGGCTCAACACGCAGAAACACTTATTGCCCTATCAGAGGACTGGCCTTTGGAACCCTGCACCCACATGGGGAAGTTCACAAGCACCAGTAGCTCCAGTTGTAAAGAATCTGACACTCTATCCTGATCTCTGTAGGCGTACACACACATATGTGTACAGAAGCACAAACACATGCACCTTTAAAAATAAAATAGATCTTTAAAAAAGGAAACAGTTTTTGTTAATAAATACATGGCTAAAGTGAATTTTAAAGTGCCTACTTTGGGTGGCCCTTAAACATGGGAGTCCAAGTCCTTTAAGTTTAGAAGTGTGTGTGTGTGCATGTGCATGCACGTGTGTGTGTATGTGTGCATGTGTGTGTGTGAGAGAGGAAATATGTTAATATGTATTATGAACAGCTCACAGAACTAGAATCTTAAAAATATGTATCTAAAAGAAAACAAAAGATTTCACCCTCAAATTTTTCTTTTGCTATTATTTAAATGTTTTATATCATATATAATATAAATAACCTATGGCATTATGCACATTAATGTTTTAATGTTTCTGGCCCCTTTCCAGGGTGGACAAGCTTCATTTATACCATATCTGGAGGTATACATATTGGTAAGTAGAGAGTATGTCATTTGCTGTTCAATTGCAGTTTAATTTAAACTACTGAAACCAATTGTTATAATTGACTATTGAGCCTCCTTTCTTCCCACACGAGCCCAGAGCAGAATGCCTTAAAGCTTCTAGAATCTTCAGTAAGAGAGAAGAATATGAACAAAAAGTCCAGATAAAAGGCCCAGGCATGATTATGTGTGCTGAAACTTCATTAAGAGGTTATCAACTTTCACACCCACCAGGAGGTAAACCTCTAGTGGACTCCAATGAGAGTAAGAATCTGTCTATCTCCTGGGAGATGGAAGAAAGTAGCACTCCCAAATATCTCACAATTTGTTTTAGCCTAGTCTGAGGGCTGTATGTTTGTTGTTTGTTGAGAAATAAATATTTGAGAACAAATCAACACAAGGAATCAGACATCTAAAGGAAGATTTTTGTGCTGAGGGTATGCATCCACACACCAGAGGCAAGAACCAAAGTCTCTTTAATGCCACTTTCCATGCCCCATCTGTACTCTGTTCAGTGACCATGTAGAGATCAAACCATCTTGTGCTTTCAAACCTAGCCAACCCAGCCACAGAAAAAGCCAGGAGCATATGATCGGTAAAAAAGGCATGCAAAGCAGATGTTATTAACACAGAAACCCACAACTGGTCAACGTGCAGAAAACAAGGGGTTTCATAGTCCTTATCCTTGAATAGGGCACCTACAGCTACATCTGCCTTCCCAGGCTCAGGGATCCTTGTGGAAGAGGGGGCAGAAAGACCATAAGAGCCAGAGGTGGTGGATGACCACAAGGAAATAAAGCTTTTCAGACAGCTGTTCAGTTACTCATATGAACTCATAGCAATGGTGGAAGCATGCACAAGTCCCATGTAAGTTCAAATCAAACAAAATCCTACCATAGATGTGGGGAAGTGGATAAGAAAGCTCAACCCTACCTGAGGAACTGATGTCTACTGAGAGGAGGAGAGTCAGTCTCTATCAAGGATGTAACTCTTGGTAGGTTAAGGAGGCTCCCATGGATCAACTCACACTGAAGGACATTTGGGGACACAAGTTAGGCTCTGTAGGCCTTATTATGTAATATATAATATAATATACATATTATATTGTACAAAGACATGCAGAGTAGACAACTTCTGCTTGTGCCCACTCCAACATTTCCCATCTTCCTGGAAGCAGAAAAAAAGCTCTCTTTGAGGCTATCATCAAATGGCTGGACAGTGGCATGTGCCGAGTGCCTCACCCAAACCCTACAGGGCCTTGCTTCCTCAGTGCCTGCTAACCAACACCAAACTGCCTGTATCTGTGACACTTTTTCTGATATTTGGGAAAGCTTCTCTGCCACAACCAAGAAAGATGAAAGCCCTGGAAAACTAACATTTTGAAAGTTAGCAACCTCTCAGGTAGGCTATTCAGAGCTTTTGCCTAGAGTTTCTCATTGAGGATATGCTCAAGCCTTCCACTGTAGGAGTGCTTGATGAGATGCCTTTCCTGACTTTCCATTCCTGACCAACTCTCCTCACATCTGGACTTCTGTGCCCTGGTATCACCTCAGTAGATTCCTTACACCAGAATATGAATCTGTAACTGTGCTTCCAAGAGAGCCCGGAGTAAGAGAATGAGTCTCTCCATTCCCTGTCCTCATCCCGACCCACAGTGATAAGTGACATGGATTGGGTTGGGGCATCCCAAGGTATAGGCCAAGAATCTCCATTTCTGAGACCCTCTGAAGTTAAGTGCTGTCTGCCACACTCCTGTGGGGGAGGGGGGCAGGCAGCAAGGAACTTCCTTGGGCAATAATAATACATTCTCATTTCTCAGATAGTTTGTTTGCTAATAACACCTGCACAGGGGTAGATGTTGTACCCAGAGTGAGTTACTTTTAACCATTCTTTATATTCTCAAAGATATTCAGTTCCTTGATTTTTCTTCTGGAAATAATAGTACTTTGATTTTTTCCCCAATGTGGCATATATGAACTTGGTTCTTTTTCACTGGATAGCATTTCAATTATAAGTGAAAAAAATTCACTTATTTTACCATTCAAGAGAGTAAAGAGTCAAGATGTAACAAAATGCCTAGCAGTAGTTCTATAAGCTCCTGTGTACACACAGTAAGCTGTGTTAATCATCTGGAACAAATGAGGCATCATTTGCTTTTATGATATTCTGAGATTCACATAGTATTTCATAAAAATAGAAAAAAAATCTTTTTATGGAAGTATCACCCTTGTTTTATAATGTTGAGGGAAAACAGATAATCTGTACAAATGGAATATGATAAAGAAAGCACATGAGGTTTTAAGGTGGCAAGGGTTCTAGAAATGTTTGTATAGCATAAGAAAAGGTGAGGAAGAGGCAAACATTTTCATCTCTGGGATTACTATGCCCAGCCCATGCATGTTACAAGACAACAGCCACAGACAACACATAAACAGCAGGGTACCTGTTGCAATCTGTGGCAGAGCTGCATAAAAGAGACAGTACCTCTTTGAGTCATTTAACCAAGAGGGAGTCCAGTTTGTTCTGAGGAGTTCCAATTTCTCTCCAAATTGTCCTGTTCTTCTGAACAAAGGGCCTCTTCTTTTTTTTATTTTTAAAAGTATTTTATTTATTATTTTAATTTTATGTGTATTAGTATTTTGCACGCATGTGCATAAGTGCACCTGAGTTATGTAATGCCTGCTGAACTCAGAAGAGGGTGTCAGATTCCCTGGAACTGGAGTTATGGGCAGTTGTTAGCTGCCATATGGGTGCTCGGAATTGAACCTGCATCTTCTGTAAGAGCAGCCAGTGCCATTAACTGCTGAGCCATCTCTCCAGCCCTGCCTCTTCTTGTATGTATTGAACAGCATGTCAGTGAGGATATGGGGAAAGAATGATAAACTTTTTCTCCAAGAATCATTAATCAGAGTTTATAAGGGAAGGAATTACTTTTCTGGCCCTACTAACTCAGAATAGCATACAAATTGAGAAACAGACATCATCAGCCTATGCTGATGCATTGTTTTAGACAGTTGTGTGGGATATGTTGTTTTCAACACTATGGCTGCTTTCAGAAGTGGTGTTCCATCTAATTGCCATATCTCAGCCACACATATACTGTTCTGAGACAGGAACATAAAGAGGCATAATAGGGAACACGGTGCAAGATTAAAGCTATGTGTTCAGCTTACCTTGTAAGAGTTAGTTACAATGGACATTGTTTTCTTTGAAAGTCTAGTCAAACAACTTCAGAGTACAGTAGGAAAACAGATTGAATACATAGTTCTAAATGATCTTAAAGTGTATGATATTCACTTGATCCCGGAAAAATCATTCCCACAGCAAAGTGGTTGTGAACTTCATATATTTTTCTTGTGTTATGAAATACTCTTTTTAATTCTTTTCAACCATTTATTAAAAGGCCTTCCTTAGCCTCTTGGTTCTGCAAAAACTCACAACTGATTTTGCTTTAAATGACATCGGGGAGAGCATAATCAACAAATGATTTTCAAAGCCTGTTTTAACCAATAATTACAGCCTCATTTACCTGACAGACTGTTAGGCCCGAAAGTCAATAAGTGAAAAGATCAGAAAATGTCAGCCTAAAATGGCTCTATAATTCTGCTTGTTTCTCTTGAAGTGAGGTAGAATTTTCCCAAGTCATTTCTTCTCACTGGTTTGTTCCCCCACCGAAGACCATGGGCCACAAGTGCAAAACATCTGGCAGAAGATGGAGCTGTGGTCTAGACTCTGACTGAAGTTGTGTGTGTCCAAAGTAAACTGGACCATGGACAGAATCCAGCTCCCAAACTGGGCTTTTAGGATTCAGCTTCAGCCAGTGAGCCACTAGCCAAATGACCTCATTTGAATTTGATCTCCTTCCATTGCTCCTGTCCACCCCTCTACCAGGATGTTAATGAGAGAAACAAAAGGAAAACAACAAATCACCAGAGAAGAAGAAATGAGAAAATGGAAATAGCTATTAAATATGTACCGACCTACAAAATTTATAGGGAGAAGGCAGAAAATGCTTCCCAACTTCCCTATCTCATTTTTATCTTGCTTATAAACATGCATGTCACCAGCCAATGCCAGATGGCAGGAACTGATAAACAAGTAATAATTTAAAGAATATTTTATTTATTATTTTTATTTATCTTATGTGTATGAGGGAGTGTATTGCCTGCATGTGTGTAAGTGCACCTGTGTCGTGCAATGCCTGTGGAGGTCAGAAGAGACCATCAGATCCCCTGGAGCTGGAATTACGGACAGCTGCCATGTGGGTGATGGATTTCTCTAAGAACAGCCAGTGCTCTTAACTGCTGAGCCATCTCTCCAGCCCCAATACACAAGTAATCATTTTTTACATAATGTCAAACACTTCTATTCAGTTAAAGAATCATAAATGTATGTAAGTGGTATCTTCAGCTGGAAAGAATAGCCTGTGATTTGGCTAGAGAAAATAATCTCAAAAGACTACATTAAGTGAAAATTTAAGGCAGTTATTAATTGAGGAACAAAGGGGAGTAATGGGAGGGGGAAGAAAGGATAGTGTGGTTTGTGGGGGGGATGATACGCTTATACTACATTATATACTTGCATAAAAATGGCCTAAGGTAACTCAGTATAAATTCCCTCCTGAACCCCCAAGGCTGGAGTTGCAAGGCACCTGAAACCAGGCCTGGCTTTTTATGTGGGTTCTTGGGATATGAACCTAGATCTTCATGCTTGCACACAGACACTTTATCAACTGAGCCACTTCATCATCCCCCAAATTAAAATTTTTTGAAAGATTAATTTACCACATATTATGTCAAGCAGTTGTCAAAACACATTGTATTAATTTAGTGAATTCTCAAGATCTCCCCACCAATGAGATTCCTCTGTGTCCTTGTTGAAAAGTTTAAAATGAGTCTCAAAAATAACCAACTGGTTATTACTAGTCATAATCAATTGCACTCGGATCCTTGGCACCTGTGTTTATCTATAAAATCATTGGGGAGACACATGCGCCAACATCTTAGTGTTATTAGCAAAAGCAATGAGTCTTTCTGTAAGAAACAGTATATTTTAAAATAAAATGTAGGTCTCTTTTAAAGATTAAAAACTCATTCAATTTTATGTCTTACAGGGCTTATACTGAGTTCAGTATTGTATAACTATTAATTCAACAGCGAACCTAAAAATTGTATAGCCACTTTTGAAAGAGATGTATCTTTGCTCTGGAAACTGTTATTATATTAAAGGTGTAATGAAATGCTTCTTCTAAAATAAAAAATAACCAATTTGCCTGGATGTGGTGGTACATGCCTTTAATCCCAACACTTAGGGGGCAGAGACAAGTGGATCTCTCTGAGTTCAAGGCCAGAGTGGCCTACATAACAAGTTCAAGGTAGGCCAGGGCTACATAGTTGAGACCCCCATCTCAAAAAGTTAAGTAGTATAGGAAGTACTTAAAATGGCTATACATAGATTCAGTTTGGCTATACACTTGGAGATTTGAATGGTAGAAAATGCTAGTCATCTAGCTAGTTAAAATTAGCACTTTCTTCTTGAAAGAGAATACTCATGTAAGATTCATTTCAAAGTTTTCATTTTATGCTTGTCAAGAATCTTTGTAAATTAGGATATATCTATAATTTTTCAAAAATGGAAAGCCCTGTATGCTGACTCTTGATTGATAAAGGCCTTTGATAACAATATTTTACTGAGGTAAAAAGTCCTGCAACCATCTCTCAGCTGGACTCTGTTTGGTATGTTATAAAAAGAAAAAAATCAAAAGAAAATAAAGGCTGTACAGTCATATAACTTACAGATACCACAGTTGTTGATATCAAATCAGTTCCCACAGCTATTAAGAAAATTGGACTTTCCTAGTGCAGATATCAAAAGGAGATAAATGGCCTATGTGCTCTTGAAGCTTGGTACAGTTCCTCACTTTGAATGTCAGTCCCTTAAAAAGACCAGTATACTGTTGGTGCTTAAAGAATGCATTTGCAAATTTAAAAATATTTGTCTGTGCTTACTGAATGTTATCTATGTTATCTCACTGGTTTATGAAGGCAGTAAAAAGGTAGTACTCCGTAAAACAAGTAGTTATTCATGATTCCTTCATGCTCAGTGTATTGAATCTGATTCTGAGTGGTACTCAGAAGTTTGACACAGTCCTTGTATCTTACAGCAAAGGTGGAAACACATGTATGTACACCAGTAGTCATTAATTGACTTCCAGTCACTCAGCTAACTGGATTGACCAGTTCTCTTTTTTCTGTCATGAAAACCTTTAGAAAGGTGCTGAGCACTCAGGGAGATTGGCTCCTTCTACCCGTTGCACCATGGTGAACTCAAAGGCAGTTGTGTTTATTCTCTGTGACTATTTTACAAATCATTGTAATTATGTCATTTAATCAGATAGTATGTAAGAGGCTGGGCAGATGACTCCGTAGGTAAGAATGCTTGCTGTGCAAGTATGAGGACCTGAGCTCAAATCCCAAAAACCCTCCTAAAAAGTTGACATGGTTGCATGTGCCTGTAACCCCAGGACTGTGGGAGATGGTAGAAAGGATCCCTGGAGCTTTCTGGTCATCAGCCTAACTCCAGGTTCAGTGACAGAAGCTGTCCAAGTGAATAAGGTAGAGAGTAATAGATAATAAGTAAATTAATAAAATAAATGAAAAATGTGAAATTTCTGCAACCAAGTAAAATGCTTTGTAAAGGTGAATTGCTAAATAAAATGCCCTTCAGTTAGTATGACAGAGGACAATAAGAGATTCAGGGAAGCTACAATAATCTAGAAGGATTTAACCAATGCTTTAAAAAGAAAGATGGGGCTGCAGAGATGGCTCAGTAGGTAAAACGGTACTTGCCATGCAAACATCAGGACCGAGTCTGGAATCCCCAGCACTCATGTCAAAACACAACTCGAATATGGTGGTAGTACATGTTTGTAAAACCATTGCTGGGCAGAAGAAAGGTGGCGCCCTGGAGTTTGCTGGCCAGCCAGTCTAACCAATCGGTGAGCTCCAGATTCAGTGAGAGACCCTGTCTCAAAAAATGTGGTGGAGAGTGATTAAAGAAGATACTCGCTGTCAACCTCTGGCCACCTTGTCTCTGGCCACTACACACAGAAACACACAAACACAGGCACAGTCACACACAGACACAGACACAAACACAAACACACACACACACACTAAATAAATAATTGAATGAATAAATAAATAACATGAAAGACAGTGCTTCAGTCTAGCTAGCCAACTTCCCAATGCTATCAAAACTCAAACATGAATGCGTGTATATACTTTACAATAAGGTGCTTAAGGCAGTTTGTCTTTTTCATTTAAAATCTTTGTTGTATTAGATAAAAGAGCTTCATCATACATAATTTATGATGTCAAAATCTATGCTACAAGTTACCAGAATTTTTGGAACAGGAAGTAAGATAATAGTTCTTATAAAGAGAAGAAAAAGAAAAGACGGCACTAGTAGAAAACAGAATATGTAGCCATTACACACTAGAGATAGAACACTAGCTATAAAAGTCAGATTTTAAAATATTTTGCCCTTTTATGATTGTTTAGGCAAAAAGTTGCAATTACATTTTTGGTTAAATTTTCCTTAGCTGTGGTACTATTAGATTTAACATTCTTGGCAAAGATTCATGATGGAAACTATTTATTATCTGATTTGGCTCTTTTTGTAATTGCAAGTAGTTAGAAACAATAAGATAAGTTTTCTTTGGGATGGATTTTAAGTTCAGAAGATAAACCAGATGGACAAAATATCATAGAAATGGCCTGAAAATGAAGATGGAATCAATCTTTCTTTGAATATGTCTTGAAGACTCCTTGTAATAATCTAGAACGTAAAGGTAGACTGCAAAATATTCGCCTGGAAACTTGACTCTCGTGTCAATAAGAAAGGTATACCTTAAGGTCCATTTCAATTGGTCTTTTCTGTATCAACACAACGTTTTCACCTAGACATCAGCAGGGAGCATGCACAGGAATTGCATCCCATATACAGTTAGGATTAGAACCTTTTGGACAAGCTGAACTCTGCTTCACAGACCAACGAATACTGCAGTCAGCAAGCTACCCTGATATGGGGTGCAGAGAAATACCAATTCAGCAGTACTTTGAGTGCTGTCTCTTGTCAGATCACGCCATTAAAACAGCATTGTAAAACATCCTACATGACAAAATGAGGAGCCAGGAGTGGGCCACATGGGTACTGAGTGTTGCATATGAATTAGTGCCGATAAAGAAATGGTTCATTGCTCCCAGAGGATCTCAGTAAAGCACACCTAATAAAATGCCCTTCTATCTCACAGTTCAATATGGTATCCCATTCTAAATGACATTCCTCTTTGACTCCCAGACCTTTCTTTCCAAATCCCTGCATAAGTGGAAAGTCAATGGAGTTGTTATCTCCTCCATGGCATTTGCCAACATACATCTTTGACACATGTATGTTATGCTGGAGATGGCTTGTGCTAGCTCACAGGAACTGATTGTATCTGAGCTACTTACTATTGGTCCCTTGGAATTGGACAAAGTGGAAGTATTTCTACCAGAGAAATTGACACACACTAGAAATCAAGTTTGTTCACTCTACATTGTCCTTGAAAACTAGTTGTTAACAAGTTTTTAATATTTGCTGTTGTTGGTGTTGTTGCGGGGAGGGTTTTTTTTGAGGGAGGGTCTCTGTAACCTCAGCTGGCCTAGAACTCACTATGTAGACCACTCTGGCCTCAATCCCACAGAGATCTGACTGCTTCTGCCTCTGGGATGCTATGATTAAAGGCATGTGTCACCATGCCCGATTTGGTAGACCTTTTTTGACACCTGCTAAGCTCCACACACTATATTACTAAATACAGTGATGCCATTAAAATTCTAAAAGAACAAGTCTGTGATGCAGTTATATGTATGCTTCAAAATGTTAATAACATTTGAAATGACACAATGTAGCAGTAAGTCTGCTCTGAGTTGTAAGTAATGACAAGCATAAACTATATTTTGAGATGTGTAAATACCATAACATGATATGAAAATATCTGAGATTTCTCTTGGAGGAAGAGTTATATGTGGAACTAATACTACTGTGGTTTGTTGGCTACATTTACGATTGAGGAAAAGCTGTATCTCAATTAGGTGTTAAGAGAATCACTTCCTGGCTATTTTCTACATTGAAAACCAACTAGTTTTAGGCTCTTTTGTATTATTACTTTTATTTTACGTGAAAAAGTGTATTGCCTACATGTATCTAAGTGCTCCTGTGTTGTGCAATGCCCACAGAGTTCATTAGAGGGCATCAGATCCCCCGGAACTGGAGTTACGAATGGATGGTTGTTAGCCACCATGTGGGTGCTGGGAACCAAACCTGGGTCCTCTGCAAGAACACATTCTTAATGGCTGAGCCATCACTCCAGCCCCAGTTTTAGACTTTTAACAATGGCAAATATAAACAACCCAGAGATTCAAGGAGATCCCTAAGTGTGCTATTTCTGAGATTGAAAGTAATACTGTGCTGCTAAGTAGTTGATCAAAAGTATGGTCACTGAACCTATATACTATAATAATTATTAAAGCTACTGGGTCATCTTCTTTTGTAGGGCCCGATGATGCTCAGCAAAAGATAGAGCCCCATCACACAGCAGTCCTTGGGGAAGGTGACAGTGTCCAGGTGGAGAATAAAGTAAATATTTAAAACTTCGAATTTTTCCCTCCCTTCCTTCCTTCCTTCCTTCCTTCCTTCCTTCCTTCCTTCCTTCCTTCCTTCCTTCCTTCCTTCCTTGTCCTATGTAGTATAGATACTTCTTGTACTTGTGTGTGTGTGTGTGTGTGTGTGAGTGTGTGTGTGTGTGTGTGTGTGTGTGTTCATGCCCATGTACACACAGGCTCAAGCCAGAGGAGAACCTTGGGTGTCCTGCTCTATCACTATCTTCCTTATTCCACTGACACAGATTCTGTCTCTGAACTTGAAGCGCTCACTGTTTTGGCTAGTCTGCCTAGCCAACAAACTCTCAAGATCTGCTTGTCTCTGCCCTCCAACCCTGGGTTTACTGGCATGAGTGGTCGTGCGCAGCATTTTACATGAGTGCCTGGGATCCGAACTCAGATCCTCATGCTTTGTGCGCTAAGTGCTCTTACCCTCTGAACTGTTTCCCAGCCCTCAAACTTTTAATTTTCTCTTGCAAAAATAATATTTGTATTCATTATTTGAGAATTTCATGTGATGTATTTTGATCATATTCAGACTCCCTCCCTCAGAATCCCTCCCCGGTTTCCTATCAGACAGAAACCCACCTTCTTAGCCTTCTCATTTCATGTCCTCTATTTTTTATTATTTATTATTTTTATTTTATGTGTATGAGTATACTGCCTGCATGTGTGTAACTGTACCCTTGTTGTGCAATGCTGCGGAGGTCAGAAGAGGGTGTTGGATCCCCTGGAACTGGAGTTATGGATGGTTGTTAGTCACCATGTGGGTGCTGAGAATAAAACCCTGGTCCTCTGCAAGAGCACCAAATGCTCTTAACTGTTGAACCATCTCTCCAGCCCCATGTCCTCTATTTTTTTTAAAGTCCTCTCAAGTCTAATTTGTATTCCCAAATGTTCCTTCTTGGGTGTGGGACCATGCCCTGGAGCCTGGTCAACCTATCTGACATCACACTCTCAGCAGCTACAGGTTGCTAAAAGCTCCTCAGCTAGGGCTGGCACTACTTGCCAGCCTCCCCACTTCATGCTGGGTTATTGTCTCACCTGGGCTTGCACAGGTCTTGTGTATGCTGTCACAAGTGCTGTGGGTTCATACATGCAACTACCCTGTTATATCTGAAAAACAGTTTCTTTGTATTTACCTATGGCCTCTAGCTCTTAAAATCTTTCTGCCCCCTCTTCAGCAATGATCCCTGAGCCTTGTGGGGAGAGGATGTGATACAGGTGTCCATTTATGACTGAACACTCCCCAGTTCCTGATTTTCTGCACATTGACCAGTTGTGGGTCTCTGTGTTAATTGGCAGTTTTTGAAAATCCTAACGAATTTATTGGACTTGCTAACAGAACATAGGGTGGGGGTTTAGAAGAGTGGGAGCCCCCATTTACAGTTTTACTGGAAAGTACCCACTCAAATTGTCATCTTCTATAGCAAGCTTAACGTGTATCTTTTGCTAGTTTTCAGGGAAATTTTTAAACTACTTATAGAGCTAGAATTTCTTTCTCTGTCTTAGGAGATAAATTTTACCACCACTTTATCAACCCCTTTTAATAATTTCTACTGATTCTATTGACATATATTAAAGTTTCATTTGTATTCATTCTTTGCCTTCAGTAACGATGTAGAAGTTCCTATTGTTTTTCACCCCCTTCACATCTGAATCTAGAGGCAATGCATACTCATTGTTTCTAATATTGGTCTTTTGTAAAATTTATTTATTTTTACTTTCGTATAAGTGAAAATAGATCAGGCCTCTAGAGTTATGAATAGAGATCTGCATGGACACTCACAGAGAGCCCTTTGAAAATCACCTTCATTTGGAGCTAAGAGAGCATGTGATGTGTTTCATAGTTCTTTTTGATGAATCTCTGCTTGTTTGGTAGAGTTTCTAATATTTGAAGGGATACAGGAAATATTTTTTTCAAGATTTCCCACTTTCCTTCTCATTTCTGTCTCATCCCATTGAGCAGCTGGTGCACTATCTCGTGAGCTCATTAAGTCAGTCCTTCTGCTCTATCACTCAAGCAAGAAAGGCTGAAGAGAACATTGTCCACAGGTTCATAGAAAGTTAAATTTCAAAAAGCAGGAATTAGAACTATTTTTGTGGCAGGTGACAGAGGAGAGACAATCTAACCCACTTCTGGGCCTCTGAATCTGTACTATAGAATACAATGGATTTGGGGGATTTTTATATCTTAGCTTAGTTTTCTGGAAGCTCTCCTTCTGCTCCCTGAATCTTCTGCGGTGCCTCTATGAACCGAAAACAGGAAAAAATATGAATCCCAGGAACATAAGAAAATGCATATCTCAGGGTCTGTCCCCTCTGATTTTATGTCAAACCATAGAAAACTGCCACTTTTGACCTACAAAAAATGTCAGTTTCACATGTTTCAATCCAAAGCAGAAAAGAGGTATAAAAATTATCCATAGGCCAGAATCAACTGAGATCAGGTTAGCTTGCAACGGGATCTGATTTAGTTTGGCAACCTCAGTTCCCCCTATTAGATAACAGAGAACATAGTGCAGATAAGGATTTTGAAACTACAGTAAAACATCAGGAAGAAGTGATGGAGGGAACCTGAAGGTCAGGGTAGCTGGGGTAGGCAAGAATAGGCTGATGTCTCAGTTCTCTTATGTGCAGGTCCAACATTGTTCATCTGCATAATCAAGTACTACAAACATTTTAGAAAAAGTTCTATGAGGGGCTGGAGAGATGGCTCAGTGGTTAGGAACACTGACTGTTCTTGCAACAGACCCGGGTTCAAATCCCAGCACCGACAGGGCAGCTAACAACTGTCTGTAACTCCAGTTCCAGAGGATCCGATAGCCTCGTCTGGCCTCCGTGGGCATTGCACGACATGGGTGCACTTACTTACATACAGGCATAACACTCATACACATAAAATAAAAAATAATAAATAAAATATTTTTTTAAAAAAAAGGGTTCTATGAAAAATGATGTTTAAAAGAATTTTCATCACGCTTGGGCAAGTACTAAGAGAACTCCATACCTCTATAGAGATCTTTGCACACCCATGTTTCTTGCTGCTCTATTCACTATTCAATGTAGTTGTCCATCAAAAGATGAATGGAGAATGAAGATCTAGTACTATATGAAAAGGAATATTATTCAGCTCTGAAGCGAAGTGAAAGAAAAAATTCACAAGAGATGGATTCACCTAGAATGTATACTATCAAGTCAAGTCACCCAATCTCAGAAAATAGAAGCAAAATGAAATTTAAAAAAATTTCCAAGAGATAGATTTACCTAGAATATATACTATTAAGTCAGGTCACCTAATCTCAGGAAAAAAAAGTGTTCTCCCTCACACGTATATCCTAGCCTATAATGTATAGATTTACATATGTAAATAAATGCATGTGTGGATATACTATAATATTTAGAAAGGAGAACAAGAAAGGGTAATTTTTTTGGTCTTTTTGAGACTGAGTCTCCCTGTAGCCCCAGCTGGTCTAGGCTCTTTATGTAGTCCAGGCTGGCCCCAATCTCACAGAAATTTGCCTACCCCTGCCTCCTGAGTGCTAGGATTAAAGGCATGTGTTACCATGCTTGACTCAAGAAATGGTAATTATTAGCCGGGCATGGTGGTGCACACCTTCAGTCCCTGCAGAGGCAAGGCGAATCTCTATGAGTTCGAGGCCAGCCTGGTTTACATAGCAGGTTCCAGGCCAGCTGGTGCTACAGGAGACCCTGTCTCAAAAAGACAAAAAAAATAAAAAATAAAAAAAGAAAGAAATGGTAACTTTTAAAGTCACGGTAATTAGTTCATATATATATATATGTGTGTGTGTGTATA